AGACCCGACGACGCACACCCCCCTTTTTTCCCACACACTCCCTCACACACTCCCCCACTTCTTCCCCCCTCAACCACACGCACACACCCCCACAAACAAGTTATCTTTGCACACAACTGTCGGTCACCTCAATAACCGCCACCCCACCCCACCCCCAGCCCGAAGTCAACCATTACTGCAGACTAACAAGGCACGTTATGTCCCCCGTCCACTACAGCCTGCAGAAAATTACCCGCCCGCACCTATCTCACCTGCAAATCTGACAGCAAGCCGGCCGGTACTTTACGCTCGTCTCTTTACTCGTGTTATGGTGGTTGTGGTGGTGGTTTTTGCAGTCATTCTTGTAGTGGAGTGGTAGGAGTGGTCGTTGTAGATGTAGAGCCACATTATGGTTAGAAATCATAGCCTTCGTGGATGTTTGAAGAAAAGTGGATTGGAATAACAGAGATGCTAAAACAGTGTCTTCGCTATATGTTATTATAGCTGGTGTTGGTATAAATAAAGTGAGAGTGATGCAAGTTCAGCTCTTTGAGGGCGGTCATTTTGGTCATTCGACAACGCTTGAAGACTTTTTGGGAACTTTTCAAAAGAAAAGCAGCATTACTTCGTTTTACATCAGATTTTTTCATTGTTTTCTTGATTTGAAACCCTAAAATGTCTGGGAAACACATGCAATTTTTTTTTAAAGTTTCTGATTCGTTCGTGTTTCGAACTGTGCCTCAACATTATCTTTGGTCTGCTGCTGATGGACACAATTATGGTTCCCCTAGGTGCCGAAAGTGTTTATAAGCAAGGTGGGGACTATAGAAGTATATAACTATCAATGGTTATTGTTTATGACTGGCTGGTGTCTCTATCTATAAAAGCAATTGATCAGTGGTTAGTTCTGTTAAGCTGGCTGATGTCTCAATAAATAAATAAATTATCATTGGTTAGGGTTAATGCTGCCTGATGACTCTAAACAAATATCAGTGGTTAGTGTTAGGCTGGCTGGTGTCTTCATAAGTAAGTAAATTGTCAATGGTTCTGTATCTTCGCTATAATATAATGTTATTATAACGGGTTTTGGTATAAATTAAGTGAGAGTGATGCAAGTTCAGCTCTTTGAGGGCGGTCAGTTTGGTCAGCATTTAAGTAATGCTGGCTGCTGCCTCTAAGCAGATAATCAGCAGTGGTTAGGGTTGGGCTGGTTGGTTGGTGCCTTTTTCAATAACTGGTTATCAGTGGCAAATGTTAACATAGCTGCATGCATGGGTGAGGACGTTCGCTCGTGGAGATGTCCCCACCGTCTGGGGTCTATGGTCTGTGTGTGTGCGTGTGGTGTGTACACAGTGCATCATCGTCTGCCGTGGTAGTGTTAGTCTGAGGACGGTATTTTGCCGCTAAAACGTTTCTTCTATTCCTGTCGCCGCCAAGTCCCGCAGACAGGTGTTTGTGTGTGTGAGAGTGCGGCCTTGACATCTTTGGCTTTCGGAGAATGCCGCCGTTTTGGATGTATTGCCCAGAGGTAAATGTTATAAAATGTGAGATTTTTCGGGGGTCCTTTGAGAAATTCATTTCATTCCAGAAAAACAACAACGGGTGTGTGTGTGTGTGTGTGTGTGTGTGTGTGTGTGTGTGAGAGTGTGTGAGAGTGTGTGAGATATTGTGTATGTGTGTGTGTGTGTGTGTGTGTGTGGCGCCGCTATTGTCTTATTTTTCTTTCTCGTTTGTTTCTCCCACCCTGTCTTGCATTTTCTCTAAAATACATTACACTGGAATACACGTGCTTTGTGGAAGCCGTCTGTCTGGCGTCTGTGCTAAAGCCTTTGATGTTCAAACCTGGAAATTTTGTAGTTCAAGATTCAAATTGGAACACTTATTTTTCCTGTCCCGCCTTGGCGCCTGCAAAGGGATATGTATGGCTGTCTCTCTCTCTCTCTCTCTCTCTCTCTCTCTCTCTCTCTCTCTCTCTCTCTCTCTCTCTCTCTCTCTCTCTCTCTCTCTCTCTCTCTAAAAAAACCCAAAGAAAGATATACGTTTTTTTACCGTCTAGCACAACGCTTTTATCAGAATGAGCATAGGTGTATGATGCTCTTTAGAGAATGCATCTATATATAACTCCAAAGGTCTTGTAATTACATATCTGCGTGTGGTTGAATGATGCATCTAATGTGAATTACATTTTGTCAGCCTTACTTCTCTTTTCATATTGAATTTTAATAGTAATATATAATTTTAATTTTTTAATGTATACCTGCATGTGTTTTTACGGTCCTGTGCAGCCAAGAAAAAATTCCCTCT